TCGCGAAGGAGACGGCGGAGCGGGACCGGGAGAGGTTTAGAACTCTCCCGGCCCGCCAGGCCCGGGCACGGGCCAGGCAGCGCAGGTCACTCAGGCGCCGGAGGTCGCAGAACGACCTCCGTCCTCCATAAGCGCAGGCCTGGGGGTGACAGGTGAGGCCATCTGTCACCCTAGCAGAAGCAGGCCGGGGTGGCGGCGAGCGCGTTGCGAAGCGCGCTCGCTTTCAGGGAGCACAGGGAACATGGGGTTCCCACACGGGGCGGGGGTCGTCTACTCGTCTGTAGATGACCCGAGGTATGTCGGGGCACCAGGGCCTTCCTTTCTAGGGTATACCTGGTTCCCCGGCTATTAGTACCCGGCGAAGGCGTGCGGTTTTAGTCGGTTCGAGTCCGACATGCCACCGACAGGTGGTATCCGAGGGGATTTCCGCACGGAAAAAAAAAAAAAAAAAAAAAAAAAGGTATCAAATTAGCAACCATATGACATGAAACCAAATAAACACTCTTCAGTCACCCGTTTCAGGACGCGGCCTTATCGCCGACATTCTCGTATCAAGAAAATCCATACGGATGGCTTCCTCGTGTCATATCAAGTACAGGAGCGACACATTTGTGAATAGATGAATTGTTTTACATTTGAATTATTGGTCGTTATGTTGAGGGGAGACTTTGCACAAGTCTTCGATATGATGTCTTCTAAATTCTTTTGTACAACTGCCTAAATATATAAATAGACATAGGCAAGACTTCAATTGTCCGTGTGGTGACGGATTTAGAATGCAGAGTGTCACCACCCCTATTCATCCCGTGGGTGTCGTAAGAGCCGACTAAGGGAGCAAAATACGCAGAACAACAGCACTGCAAAGAGAAAGAAAACTTGACACAAACCCTATGCCAACTCGTCTAGCCAGCGTGGTATAGTAGCCCAAAACCTCCTTTCTAAGGAGAGCCCTATGTGCAGCAGTGGACTGTTAAAGGATATTGATGTGATGATGTGAAGACTTCAATATATATTTCTCCTTCATTGTTAATGATTTTCTTTTTTTAGCATCGCTTGTCCAGTTGTAAATAGCCAGTAAAAAATTGACAATAAATAATTTGACATGTTTATACTAAAAGATTAGTAGTAAATGTTTTCAGTTAAAGTTGAAAGTTTATTTATTCATATTTTGTTAAAACATTTGATTTATTCCATCTTTTTTTATTTTACTCACATCTTGAAAGGTGTCGAGTAAAGTGTGCGTTGTAGCATCAGTTTTCGTAGCATCGTAGCAGTTGTAGCGTTCGTAGCAACTATGCATTCTAATAATTCTAACAAATTAAGTTGGCATTACGAGATAGAAAGCACTATTTTCAAACTTCAATACTTTACATTATTAAAAAAAGATATAAAATAATTTTATTTATAGGCTATATTTAAAAAAATTAACATAACCGTTGATTTATTATCACAAACAATTTTATTTTTACTCGCTTTTAGCTATCAGATTTTGAAATGTTCCAAAGAAAAAAACTAAGTGATGTAGTGAGTAAATAAAAAGAAAAGATTAGTGAATATGACCTTTTGAGTACCTTTCATTTATTATCTATGCTTAACGCTCACTTATAACGCTCAGTTATACAAATTTTACAATTATTTGACTGCACGGATGGCGTAGTGGTTTAAGTCGTCGCCACGCCGCTTCCTACTACGCCGAGTGTTGTGGGTTCAAACCCCACATGGGACAACACTTTGTGTGATCCACAAATTGTTGTTCTGAGTCTGGGTGTTCTTTGTGTCCGTTTCATGTATGTTTGTAAAGTCCCCCGCGACACAGGAATGTGTATTCCTAATGCGGGCGTTGTCTTTAAAAAAAAGAAAAAAAAAAAAAAAAAAACAATTTGCAATAAGGTATTTAGATCGAATAATATAAATTCATGGCAGACATATGTAAATCAAGTGAAACTCTGTCCTCAAAAGGCCGGGCTTAATACAAAGGACGTAAGGACCCTTTCTTGTTTTTACACATACATTATTTATCTGTGGTAATTAGGTGTGTTCTGTTTTCGTATCGCGCCTTTTTGCTTTACGGATTAAATTCAGTAATTTATCAAATTAGTGAATTGAAGAGGGTATGGGCTTAATATTCCATGAACTAGAAGTAGCAATGATTTAGCTGGCAATTAATTTTTTATTTTAATTTAATTACAACTCTATGACCTTTTATAATCTTGTCAATAATTTGTGTCACGTAACTGGCGTTTCTAATACCTGTATTGCCGTCCAGGATAGGCAAGACGATAAAACGTCATTTGCCACGTTCCTGACATACAGTTCGCGTCTCATCCACATTTATCGTAAGGACAATTCAGTTCAGTTCAATTTTCATAGTAAAATAGTAAAGTATTACTAACATTAGTAGATTACGAATTCAATTATCGGTTACAATACGATATAATCACATTACAGTCAACGTTAGATGATTAATAATTTATTACTATAATACTTTTTATGACAGTTGTGAAATCGTGAGTTGATCGGAACTGAATTGTGACCGAAGTTTTAATACGAGAATTGGCCTTACGATTACGGGCGTTTTTAATAAAGCCCTATTTAAATAGTCTGCTAATCTGGTTAATGTAACCCACCATATTGATTGGTCACATGCATGTGTGCACAACACTAAATACCTATCAACAGCCTTTAATAGTGCACTGCTAGACAACGGGCCTCTCCTTAGAAAGGAGGTTTTGGCCTACTTACTGTACATTACAGCCATACTTACAACACTACTAAGAGGATTCATTTCTTATAATATAGGGTGGGTGGTCTAAACAAAATAATAATATCAGAAACATTAAGAAGAAGCAACAAATTTGTATGCAGAAAAGGTGCTTCTCTTTAGCATCAATAGATAATGATAGTGATAACTTACTTTCCCCAGTCACGTTTTATGTAATATGCAGCTAAAGCGTTCAGACCCAAAGAAGAGCAAAGATTTTTCTTACAATACATTCAAAGTTTGCGTTGAAAATATTAATCTCACTAAAGGCGAAGGCAAAATGTCGATTTTTATCAATTTTCAACGCTGATCTTAGTCAAATTTATGAGCCCCGAGGCTTGAGAAACGGGGATTCTCTTTCAAGAATATTAAATAGCTTTCGGGTTGAACGTAATGTGCTCTACAAATATGTGTTTTGGAAATTGCTTTACTGTATACTTTGTTATAATTCCCGATATTTTACGTTTCACGTTGAAATTGAAGCACCGTTATATCTTTAATGAAAATTTTATGAAATTAATAAATGAAGGATTGCTTTCTTTCAATTCTGAAGTAGTCATGTTATTGCTGCCAGTGTAGAATTAAATAAAAGTAATGAAAAGTCATATTTTAAAATGCTAAGACTCTGCAACTAAAGAGTTTGCGAGACCGATCTTAGCTGGCGTAAAGTTGTGTCATTTGAACAGAAGCTTGCATGTCAGATAAATTTCAAACTTGGTATGTAATTTTTAAAAACTGTCATCCGTTACATAAGCTTAGGGGTGTGCTCTATTTATCGATATCAATTCTGTCTAAAAACTGTGTTACAGGTAAAGTTAAAAATTTCTCTTCCAAGTCCCAAAGTGTTGTAACATGTGATTTCTATATGTTGGTCTACTGAAAATATTTCCTATGCACGGGCCTATTCAAAATCTAATTGGTTTTGTACTGAATTCCGATAACAAATAAAGCACAAGCCCATAAATTTTGATTTAAAAACTTTGTTTATCGGTCGTTTACAAAACTAGTCCATACGACTTTTTTCTTTGTGTTATAAATGTCACTTAACTTAGTTGGTATTGTAATTGGGGTTTGTGTAAACTACTTAAGATAATAGGCTATAGTTAACTTCCTGCCATAAACGTCGAGAAGTGCTCGAAAGTTAAATAAACCGCGAAATACTGCGGATAACTAGACCCATTTTATCGTTAACGTAATTTATAGGTAACCGGGTCAAAAATGGTCAACCTTATAGTTGAAATATCCGCAACGGTTTAGACAATTTCGTTTATTTTGATAGATTACCGACCCTCTTTTTCAATGCTTTTATTTCACGTATAAGACAAAATAGAATATTGGCAAATTTGACCGGTAAGCAATTTGCATTTTTTTAATTTGTTTGTGTTTCTTTTAGAAGTGTTTTCCTTGGTATTTTAAAAAAAATATTTGAAGCTTTGGGTCTCGGCTGTATTATATTATTTCAGCCTTTTCTCGTGGTCCATTTAGGGGGCATTTGTTTGCTTCTAAGGAACATAGCGACATATTTAAATAACCTATACTTTCTTTTGATAGTAAAAAATAGCGTTAAATTTATTGCATGTTAGTTCTTTCACAAATTACTACTACTAGTACTACAGTACAATAATTCTAATTTAATTATCTACCTCGTTTGCATTGTAATGGTTGCAGCACTTTTCTGCTATCTACGTTTTACGATCGTAGACATTGTAATTAACGGCAAAATAGTTGAAACAAATTTTTGTTGCCAAGTTCTTGTCTCCAATGCAGATCTTTATTGTGTTTCGAATTTGGTATTAGGTATAAAAGCGAAAGATTACCTTTACAAATGACTGTGATTCTTTGTAATCTGCAATAAAGTAGTCAAGAAAGGAAGGACGGGTTAATATGTATTGTTGTACATTTAACGATACATTATTTACGATACCTTGATTAAATTATTAATTGAATATATTGTTAATAAAATATACAGTGTAGTTAGAAAACGCACTTAACGCACATTTAATATTTTATCATCATGATGAGATGCGACCTAAGGATTCCAAGGGCGCAGAGATCGGGTGCGAGGTGGCGAGTGGATCGCATCCCGGCCGGGTTGCACCGACCTTGAGCCCTTGCCCTACTTAACACCCTTCACACATATTTTACGACCTACGCTCGTAACCGTTAGGGCGTGCTATACAAACCTTAAGTACTAGACTTCACTATTTAGTGATTACTCGAGATGATAAGAGAGCCTTTTTCATGGGAAGGGCTCAGGTCGTCGAGGGGTGCCGCGCGCACCTGGCCTGGCGGCTGCGCAGCGGTGCGGGGGCTCGAGGAAGGCGAAGAGGGCAGGGTGGCCGCGGGGCGAGGGGAGCGCTAGGGGGCGGGCGCGCCCAGTAGTCCCGCGCCGGGCGCCGCTCGGGCCGGCCGCACGAGTGTTCAGGCCGCATGAGCGCGCCGGCGTGCTAGCGCAACGTGCGCGGGTGTGGTATGCCCGCGCCTCGCCGCTATGGCCCCTATGTTGGCGGCCTTGGCGCTGCTGGCTTTGCTGCCCGGTGAGTGTTTCGCCTCGTGACACGACGCAACAGGCGTCCGCCGCGCCCCCGCGTTTGTTTACCCCTATGGGGATCGATTGGTGATGGTGAGAGCTGAGGTGTTGTGTGTGATACCCGTGAGCTGCCGGGATGACGGCTGACGGAGGTAACCGGGAAGGTTGCCGTTCGGAATTAAGTTTCATAAGTCGGCGAGGTAAACCGTATCCGCGTGAAAACTTTCGAATCGCAAAACTTGGGGATTAAATAGTTTAAAACTTACAGAAATGGTTTTGTCGTATCTTAAAAAATAGGATTCTGAAAATTGATTTAGGTGCGTGACCTGCTTATGTTTTCATATCCCGAGATGGTTCTGTATACGAAGTCATAAAACAAAAAATGAGCTTTTACGAGTGAATCTGTACGTATTTACTGTGACGGTAATGATTTGGTTACCGCGGCTCGGGAGACGAGTTGCAAAACTTTATGATTCCCGTCCGTGAGGTCTTTCGTTTTAAGACCTTCCTTTATTTGGGATTTTATTCGGAAAATGTTTTTACGTCTCTCTACACTTGTTTTATGTTCTAGAAGAGTAGTTTTGAACAGGGTGAGAATATATCTTTATAAATTCTTTGTTAGGACAGATCGCAAACATTTAATGTAATTTTGTATTAAATTGTACAATTCTTGCACAGGTACCCAATTTTTTTCATAAAAAATATTATTTTTTATTACCATACGTTGCTTTAAAGGTATGCGAACCGTATATAGGAAAAATCACACCTTCACACAAAGTTAATTAAGACTTAAAAAGCAATACGGGCCCCAGGGGCACGGCCTCGATGAATACATTCATGAGTACTACGGATCGTCTCGCGGGGATTCATCCCCTTGTTGACTTGCCAACAGGTTACAAACGAAGACGCCCCCACTAACTCAGTTTGCGTCTTACCTTTTCATTCTACACAAATCTCTCTAGTACCGTAACTTCTACGTGAAATCTTGGCGCCGTGTGTCAAGTAGCGATAGTGAAAAATAGGATTGCCTTTTATCCTTGCTCGATAATAATTTAAGCAACTTGTAGAAAATTGATTTTGCACTCTTATAAGCAGTTTTTTTAAGTTGTTGAATACTATTTCAGGTAATAGTTTTTTTGGGAGAGTGTCTAATCAGCAAACGAAAGGTGACTAGAAATATGTAAAAGCGTAATTTACTTGTACGCTTTGAAAAATCCTTTCCAGATTTAACAAATATTACTAGTAATCTAATTTTTATAATGCCGTTGTGTTTTGATAAGTCTTTAGACAAAGGAACTAATCTAATTTGTCTACTGCAATCAACGGACTAATTTTGTTCATTTAGTTTAGTTATTATTACATTAATCTGCTATTTAAGGAACGTAGGTACTCACCAAAGGGTAGTACAGCGGGTGTTCATTTTTCTTCGATAAAATATGCACATCAATACCCTCGGACTGATGGCCTGACGGACAGGTCGAACGGGTTTATAACGCGGCCCTTCACCCCAAAATAAGTGGAAATTGTAGCCGCATATACTTCTTTGTAATTTATATCATCAGAAATTTCCTTTGTTTGATTCTATCTCATTACTTGCAGCATACCCGCAAAATTCTTAAATTCTTCTTTGTTAAATTCAATATTTTTTGCACGATCAGACGAAGACAGTAAAAGGACACCAAAAAGGTTTTATAAACGAAAAAGGTTATCCTTCACCTTATCTTATTAAACCATTTTAGCATTTCTTTTAAAAAAATAGAAAAGGTTGACAGTTTAGATTGTAAATAGGCGAACTAGATAGAAAACAAGGTACTTTCTGATTATTTCTATAAGATTTCCTCTTATTTACTTTTATTCTTTCAAGTTTATATTTATCATGCAAAACATTAACAGAAACCTTATTTAGAGATAGGCTATTTTGAACGTCATACATTTTAGCTTGGTGTCCTGGAGTTGGAAACCAACGCTTCGCCACAGATCGAAACATGACGAAATTATGCAAAGAAGTAATATTATACGCTATCGATGTTGGAAATTAAGGTAATTTCGTATTTAAACAAGCATTCATAACCTTTATTTAGAAGCTAATTTCAAAAGTGCCTAAAGGGGAGTACTCAGTAAACAGTTAAGGGGTAATATTTCAACCCGTTAAACCATTGTAGTCGATCCTTCAAACGGTAGTCAATACACTCGCCGACGGGCTGGCGGGGATTGATCTTGCGTCTTACACGACGCAGATTTTGAATAGAGAAACTGAATCTATTGTGTTGCTATAGTAGTATAAAATAGAGCTTTCATTTATCATTCCGAATTCAGAAATTCTAATGAATTATAGCTTAAAGCAAAGCTAGAAAATACGCTGTCTTACACAAATGTTATGTAGAATATAATTATTACTAACTAATGGAAATTAATGCGCTTTGTAGGTATTAAATACCTGGGGGTAAGCTTACGGCTTTCTCGGGGTAGCGCCAGATGGAGGTCCTTGAAATCACCATGAGGCAGGCCGTCGGGATGGTTTTTAGTGGATATATAGTATTACATACGGTTCGAAAAATCGATTCTGTCCCGCAGACGACGGTTCCCACACAGGAGGAGGTTATTTTCACGCCGTAGATGACCCGAGGTACGTCGAGGTTTCAAGGATTTCTTCCTAGGTCCTGGTTCCCCGGCAAATGGTACCCGAAACGGAGTGCGGTTTTTAACATAACCGCCGGTGGGTGGTATCCGAGGGGATTTCCGCACGAAAAAAACAGTACGTACGTATAGGCTATTCACTAAAAAACAATTTAATCTGTCTAGCAAAGGATATTGGGTGTTATTTTGTGCTAAATATATTTGACTAATCCTTTACTAACGCATAAAAACTGATGATTCTGTTCTTTTACCTAGAAAGTTCAAACATACATACGGCAAATAAACAACCTGATCTACTACGGATAGAGAAAAATGAAAACTAAAAACATGGAATGGCTTTGAAACAATAATAATTTGCAAATATAAGAGTCACGAAACGGGTATTTTACAATATACACACATTAAAACGTATAATAATGTACTAACCGGTATAACACATACATTTAAACGTGACCAAATATATCCTTTGCCACGGGTACCTGCATCATAATATTGAAATAAATGTTAATTTAAATCTCGTCTCTGTGCATTTTTTGTCTTCTCTAGAAAGGTCTACTATACTCTTATATCTATGTACATCAACCTTGTGCTTTGTTCTTTGTCGTAAGTATGCAGTGGAAAAGCTACATTTCTGTAAGTAAGAAGTGTGCAAGTGTGCCTACAATGTTAAGTGTAATACTGCCTGGCAACATTTTTTTCCTTTGTTATTTTTTTGCAAGGTGAGCCTGGTGGCCTTAATGTTTATTTTTATTTATTATATACATTGGTTGAAAGATGTATTTATTTCACGTAAAAAAACATTGCATAAACAATATATCTCAATGAACTATTATATTTTTTGTGCTTTATTGCGATAAACGTCTACATACATTTTTCTGCAAAAAAAATGACATTATTTGATAAAGATATTGGAAATAAATACTCTAGATTTAAATCACACAAATTTATAAAGATGAATTTATACCTTTAAGTAACTGTAACTACAGTTGTTTGTTTTGTTTATATTAAATTTAGTAATTGGATAATGTAGATAATGTTGCAATTTATAAAGAGTCACGGAGGAATTCTGTGCTTTTATGTCATGGTAACAGAGTATAAACTTGACCAATGATCTTTGTACTTGCCCATATTGTTTTAGTCCAGTGCAGTAACTATAACCGTGAAATAATTTGTGGGTACTAATGTTTAACAAACCGTTCATAATAAAATTTAAACAAGGAATCTCTGGCGAGTACAAAATATATTCGGCATCCTCGAAATATGAAAATCATACTTAAAATCGTATATATTTAACTAGCTAGTCCCGCAGTTTTACACGCGTTCATAGTCACTGTCCTGCTCCTTGGAATCGAAGCGTAATGTTTTATAACCTATAATACTCCTCAATAAATTCTCTATCCAATATAAAAGAAAAATAAAAATCTAACTGATTGTTCCAGAAATTAAGACGCTAAATCAAAAACTCCAACTTTATCATATTAGTGTTGATAAAACTGATAATTGTAAGTAGTTTGCGATCTCTTTATTGTACAAACATAGGGGAAATAAACTATATTGTTTGTATAGTATGACCTTAATATCTCCTACAGAATGTCTACATGAGTGACTTTGGACTTAAGTCCTTCGCTCGCCTTCAACTTACTTACGAAGCTGAAGTTATATTTCTTAACGTGTCACACAATACAGTAAACAATAATAATTTCTAATAAAAATTACCATATTGTTTCTTTATATTATGTACTAAACTAAAATCGTAGTTTTATTCTTCGGCGCATATGGACGTGCCCGAACGGTCTCTCAAAAAACCGGTGTTAAGTAAGGTTACAGGGGCCCAAACCTTCCTCGCCCATAATTCTGGGAGTGGACACTAAAACGGCGACAACGCACTTGATTCTCTCAATGTCCATGGTAACATTAAAAAGCTATGCTTCCTTGTTAGTGTTTTATGCGCCGTACTGTTTATCCGATCATCATGACCATGCTTTAATAAGCAGGCAGAGACACACCTCGTATTACAATAATCCATATTTGTTAATAACATAAGTGGTAAATAAAGTTGTAAGTTATACACTGCCGTAAAAATATGAAAGCATCTATAGGACTTTACGAATGTTCGTTGTAGGAAAACTTTTTACATTGATCTCACAATACCGCAAAATCATCTGTATTACCAACATAACTACATTATGTACGTCTGTTGATTTATATCCAGTGTTTTTGTTCGACCGGCCTGTGGGCCACAGTTAATTGGTATTGACACAGATTTATGTTTTCTGATTTGTTAAGCATTTTCACGGGAATCGCTGTTGTTGAATTTGGATTGAAAAAAATTGTGAAGTTTTGTAACAGAACAATTGAGTCCAAGTTTTGATTTAAAATCTGTTTTCTTTTTCACTTGTTTATTGAAAAAAGTTTTATGTCACTGTTATGGTAAATACTATATGACATGAATGTTAATAAACAGTAAACGCATTGTCTAGAAAACTTATGATTATAGATATTATTAACGCAATCCTGAAATCTTTGAGAGAATGAGTAAGTAATAAAATTTA